AAAAAAAAATCAGGAGGAAAAAAAAAAAACAATTGGTATTATCTTCATGATTCTTATGCGTAGCATATAAGGCATGACAAAAGTACTTTGCAGGTATGTTCGATTTTTTTTTTTTCTTGTTTCAATCCCAGCTCGTGTCTGACCTCGAACGAAAAGAAGCGGAGATTGTTTTCTGAGTTTTTGAAAAATTCGAACTTCTCAAATACAAAATGATAAGTATCATAATTTGGTATGATTTTTTTCTTCTTGTTTTTGAATAAAAATCATTTTGTAATCGCGTCAGTTACGGATAACTTAATTATGGAGATTTATTTGGGACGACTGGAAGCATTCGTAAAATTGAAAATATTATATTATGATGACCCTTATCTGTTAAAAGATTTCACTAATCGTAAATATGTAGATAAGTCTTGTAAGACACACACGTATGTAAATTACCCAATAATTTAAACAATATTATTTTTTACATTTTCAATTACACTCCTTTTTGATAACTTTTTAGGTTTTCAGTTTTTATTTTTAATAAAAATCTTAATTTTGTAATCCACACATTTTTTGAGATTATCTAACATTTTTATTTGCAAATAAATTGTACTTTTGTATTCTTCCTTCTTCTTTCCTCGTCAGTTTTTATTTTGTTTTCTTTCTTCTTTCTTTCTCGTCAGTTTCCATTAGTCTTCCTCTTTTTTTTTTTTGTTCTTCTATGATTCCTTTTTTCGTGTTTTTTTTGTTCTGTAACTTTTTTTATTGCTTCTTTTTTGTAGTTTATTTGATTTTTTTTAATCGACTAGCCGCTTTTTGTGACGACCACTCAGGACTACAACGAGACCTTGGAATCTGATCAGTCCACGGGGTTCTCCATGTGCAGTCCGATAGCGAGGTAATTTGGTGCTCGATTTTACAATTTTTTTTTTTTTTTTTGAATGGGTGTGTTAATTTTCTTCAATTGGTTGAGTGATTTTGAAGAAATTGACAATTTTGAACATTTTTTGGTGTATGTTACTGAGTTGGGTTTTTACTTGAGTAAATTATCTCATATGTATGTAAGAAATTATAATTGAAATATTTTTCTCTTGTAAATATTTTTTTTGGTTACGATCTGGGCTAACCCATTAAAAAAAACTGACGGCAATTGCACAGAAAATAGAGAAATAGAAAAGAGAAAAAGTACATAAAATCAAACACCCAAAAAGAATAATCAAATCCCATTTTAATGCCATAAAATAGAAAAAAAAATAGCAAACCTAATCACAAAAAATATTTACAACAACAACAACTTGATTTTTCTTGTAAGCACGTTCTTCATTATCTACAAAGTAAACACATTAAACATAGTTAAAGAAAGATACAAATTTAAACTAAACAAGTAGCTTAGCAACCAACTTACCAATAACACAACAACCACTTAGGAGTGCAAATAAGGGCTTGGACTTTTCGGGGAGGATGAAACTTCTATATTTGGTGAGCGCACGAGCACCGATAGAAAATGTCGACTCCGATGCAGCTATAGTGATGGGGATGACCAACACATCACATGCCATCAATGCGAGTTTCGGGAATCTATTCTTACAATTTTTCCAATACCGTAAAACATCCAAATTCTTATAATTGAAAATTCAAGTTTCGTCTCTTCCAAGTAGAGATCAAATTGAGATTTTCCGGCACTTGTAACACTTTAGCTCTCATAAGACAATTCTACATCAAACAAATTTTTTCATTTAGTATCAAGAGTCATTCATTAACTTAGGAGGCTACAAAGATTAATAATAATAATAATAATAATAATAATAATAATAATAATAATAATAATAATAATAATAATAATAATAATAATAATAATAAAACCACAAAAAGGATTGAACACTTACATCAAGAATTATTTTCCCTTTGAATTTGATCCCGATCCACTTTGCAAAGTAGATGTTGTAGAAAAAAGCGAAAAAGTTTGTGCTTGTGAAGAATGTGAGCCGTTAGCATTCGCATATTGCTCAAAGTACTAATTGATATAACTTTGTCATCACATGTGAGAGAGCCTCTTCACATTTTAATGGATCGTGTTCAACTTTCTTATAAAAAACTCCAACATTTGAAGTTAATACTTGGGTCAAGAATAGCACCAAATACAGGCGCCTTTTTATATTGCCCCCAACACTTATCAAACTTTCCCTACATCCTTAAGTACATGTTTCTTATAAGCTCATCCTCATTGGAAAGGTTATCTATCAACAAACTTTGAATTTTCCAAACTTGCATAAAATACAAGTTCGAAGTAGGATAAGAACCAGAGATCAAGTTGGTCGTATCATAAAACGGCTCAAGGAACTCACAAATTTTCTCGGTTCTCGTCCATTCTTCACGTGAGCACTCGTGGGGTTCGTTGTCATGAGCAGTGGATATTTTTGCACGCATTTTTATGTCACGTATTATGAACATGTAGTATTACTTATGCGTTGTTAGAGGTATGACACACCCAACATATATTATGTTTTAGCTTCCGCATTTCAGAACCACTATGAGACTATGAGACTCCAGACTTTTGCATGTGTAATGCTTTTATCTCCATGGTACTTTTATTATATGGATTTGATTAGGTAATATGTATTAATATTATTTGTCTGATGAAAAAAAAAGACATAAGAATAGTAAGTAAATAGTTTGAGTGACACCCCGCGAGACAGTTATAGTATTTTTGAAAATAAAAGAGAAGCGTTTTTCAAAAATAAAAAGCAAAAAATTAACTCTAATTTTTACGAGTCTAGTTATAGAAGGCTGGGTGTTACACACCTAACCCGTTAGGTTAACTTACACATTTTCTTTTTAAAGTTTTCAAATTGGTTAGTGTATGCTTATTGGATTGGAAAAACATTGCATGAATCAAGATGCCTGTAAAACCAGGAAACACTTGATAACCAGAAATGATGGAGGTTGTTAATGGAAGTTTTTGTATATAACACATATCTATACCTTTAACATGGGTAATCTTTCGTTTGTCGTAATTTTTTCTACAATACATCGAAAGAACTAGACAGTAGTTATCTTGTATTCATTCTTTTTGTCTACCATTTAGTATATAGGCCTCAGATGCAATGTAACACCAAGAAATGAAATGATACTTCAAGGCAAGGTTAGGCGATATCACATGTCTAAAAAATTCATCCACTGAAATATAGTCAAAAGAAGATTAAAATTACATCAAGTTTAATCGACTTCATTTCTTTGTTAAAATCCAAAAGAAAAAAAAAACAAATTACACAATGATTCTATAATGAAAGTCTTTTCCATTCCTAGCGTGTATATATACGTTCAATCACCAACAAGGTAGGTAAAAGCAGTAAAAAAATTGATAATGAAATTTTTCATTGCGAACTTCTTCTAGGTTTCTATACTACCATTTCACTTTCCAACAAGCCGACGTGCACGTTGGTTCGCACCTTTGACTCGAGAGTTGAGTTCATCTACATCAACTTCAAGATCATCGAGGGCCTTGTTTTGCCTGTATCATATAACATTTCTTAGACATCCATATGGCGTATAAGAAATTTAGATGAGTAGCATACCCAAAAAAAAAAAACATTAAAATCCAAATGCAATTGATTAAGTTAAATAAAATTTTGGGAAGCTTTAACAGAACATTATTACTAGTATATTATTATTTAGCTTTAATTATCGAAATAATGCGAAGATATTACAAGTAAAGTAACAAAACGTGATAGATGATTAACCTGTTAAGTTCAGATCCCATGTCGACAGCCATTCCTTTCAACTCTCCCAATATACCGCCAAGGTCCGAAAGTGCATCATCTTGTTTCATCTTCTCATGCTGATTCACAATATCAAGGCCCATAAAAATATTTTAAAAATTTCAATGCACTCATGCAGTCGATGTTTATATACGAAACAAGTACCTCAATATGTTGAATAGCATCGGTCGGCTCAGGAGGGGTCGAACGCGAGCCTTTCACTTTTTCTCCTTGGCTTAGACCTAATTTTTCTCTTTGGTCTTGAGTACTTCGTTTTCCTCTTTCATTATCGTCTGTAAAATGGAGAAACTCATAGTTAATGACACCTTTATAAAAAAAAAGGGTAAAAACACAAGCTATTGATCACTCATTAAGTTATTTGGGCAATACAAATCATACATTAATGATGCCCATGAGTACACTTATAAAGGTAGGAAATAAAATATTTGAGTACCTTTATAAGTTTTAGGGCCGGTAATGGTTTTGGTCTTCTTCGGCTTCCATGGCATGGAAAACATGCCCCCAAGATTATTCAATAACTTCTCACCCTGTAAGAGAAAAAGTTTTTAACATCATTGAGATAGTTATAGGATATGTACACAAGGCTTCCTTGAAGACATTCTGTGATAGAACATTCTATGTTTATAAAGTTTTTTTTGTATACAAGATTTTTCAATTAATACTCAAAATACTCAAAATGTAACTCAATTTAAACTCAACTCCACTATCCGCAATATTATCAATATAATTAAATAATACTGTTAGAGAAAATAATAATATGCAAACAAGCTTGGCCCAATATGTCAGCCCAATGTATCGGCCCATATCACACATGACCATGCAAGATCGAGCACGTGAGAATGAAGACAAGAATAACGGCTCTTCTCTGCTCTGCGTACGGCATGCATCTGCGCCCTAGATTAGATGGATAGGTGTAGGATCAAGATCATTCCTTGTACTGAATTATTCTTATCTGATTAGGGTTAGGTGCACTATTTAAGGATGATGTATGGAACAGTAAATGTATTGAATTATTGAGCAAGAAACCGCCTGAACAATGGCAGCTCATTTTGGCATTTCTCTCTTTATGATCTTTGTTTATTTCTTTCATGGTATCAGAGCAGGATTTTCCTGGCTCTGATACACCTATCCACTTTCATTCTCAAGTCTTTTTCTCCTTTAATGTATGTCTGAATCAGATTCAGCCATGTCTGGAATTGGGGAACACCCTCATAACTCTTCTTCATCCCTTCAAGTTATTTACCCCCAAAATCAGCTTTTAACTACCAAATTAGATGAGAACAACTATCTCATATGGAAGCAGCAGGCTCTCATCACCATTAGAAGTTATGGTCTCGAGCACTTTATCACAGGTGGACAAGATCCACCACAGTTCATAGAGGAGCAAGGAACACAGATCCCTAATCCTGAGTTCATCACCTTTCAGAGACAAGATCAGATCTTGGCTTCATGGCTACTCTCTTCTCTTTCAGAAAGCCTCCTTGTTCAAATGGTAGGCCTCCAAACCTCTAAAGAGATATGGCAAGCTCTGTCAACTAATTTCACCAGCCAGTCATTAGCCAAACAGATGCAGTTTAAATTGCAGCTACAAACCATGAGAAAAGGAAATCTGAGCATGAGGGAGTTCTTAAACAAGATGAAAGGCTGCTTTGACATGTTGGCATCTGTAGGAGCTAAAGTTTCAGACAAGGATCAGATCTTGCACATAATCTCAGCTCTAGGAAGTGAGTATGATCCTGTAATGATCACAGTTACCTCAAGGATAGACACTTGGTCAGTGATGGATCTTCAAGCTCTTTTGCTAAGTTATGAGTCAAGGTTAGAAGCTGCCAACCCTCATAGTGGTGGAAATGTTAACCCTGATGGATCTCAGCCCTCTCTCAACATTGCCACTCAAGGAAATCAAGGAGGAAACTGGAACAACAATCAAGGCAGAGGTAGGAATAACTCATTTAGAGGGAGAGGAAGGTCCAGAGGGGGATTTAGAGGAAGAGGGGGCAGGTTTCAAGGAGGAAGAACAGTGTGTCAAGTGTGTTGGGTATCTGGCCATACAGCAGATAGGTGCTGGTATAGATATGACTCCAGCTATGTTCCTTCAAATCAGCAACAGCAGCACAACAACTTGGCTTCTCAAAATCACCACAATGGTGGTAGTGGTGGTTTTCAGCATCAAAGAGGTTCTGGTCTTCATTTGGCTCAGCTGCCTCCTCCTTCACCTAGCATTACTTCAGAAAGCAATGTTGAGTCTCTTTGGTATCCAGACTCAGGGGCTACCAATCACATTTCAAATGATCTCAACACACTCACCAATGATGCAGAATATCAAGGCTCCAACAGACTTCACATGGGTAATGGAGTAGGTGAGTCTATCTTTCACATTGGCAATGCTCAGCTCAAATCCCATTATTCTTCTAAGGTTTTTAAATTAAACAAACTTCTTCATGTTCCCTCTGTCACTAAAAATCTCCTCAGTGTTTCTGAGTTTGCCTTAGATAACAATGTGTACTTTGAGTTTCATCCTAACACTTGTCTTGTTAAGGACCAGCGTTCTCACCAAGTTCTTCTCAAGGGAACACTTAAAGAAGGTCTTTACCAGTTCAACCTCACAAGCCAAAGAGATTTCCAGCCTTCCTCAAATTCCTTTCAACCAAGTATCCATTCAGCTTCTGCAGTTTCTCATTCCAAGAAGTGCAACTTAGAATTATGGCACAAAAGACTAGGTCATGCATCTTATGATGTTGTAATAAGAGCTCTAAAAGATTGTAATATTTCTTTTGATGAAAGTGAAATGAATGACCCTTGTTCTTCATGTTTGTTGGCCAAAGCTCACAGATTGCCTTACTCTATTTCTGAAACCTTGTGTAGTGAACCTCTTGAACTGATTCACTCTGATTTATGGGGCCCTTCACCTGTGAAATCAAGGAATGGCTATTTGTATTATGTCACCTTCATTGATCACTATAGTAGATTCACTTGGTTGTATCTACTTAAATATAAATCAGACACCTATAATGCCTTCCTTCACTTCAAAAAACTTGTTGAGAATCAGTTAAATAAAACTGTTAAAAGTGTTCAAACAGATTGGGGGGGTGAATTCAGATCTCTTAGCAAATTCTTTCTTGAAAATGGAATACATCACAGATTATCTTGTCCTCACACTCCTCAGCAGAATGGATTAGCTGAGAGAAAGCATAGACATGTTGTGGAAATGGGATTATCCTTGCTTGCTCAATCTTCTTTGCCTATGACCTTTTGGGATGATGCCTTTGTTACTTCTTGTTACCTCATTAATAGAGTTCCAACAAAACTCCTTTCATACAAGACTCCTTTAGAAACTCTATACAACCATAAACCCAATCTGCACATGTTAAAAGCTTTTGGTTGTTTGTGTTATCCTCTTGTTAGACCATACAACAAGCATAAACTGCAGTTTAGATCTGATTTTGGCACCTTTGTTGGCTACAACCCTCATCATAAGGGTTACAAGGTTCTTCTACCCAATGGGAAGTTGATTATCACAAGAGATGTGGTATTTAATGAGAAGGTTTTTCCCTATAAACAAAAACTGCCCTCTTCACCTACTCACACATGTCCACCTAACTCAAACACCAATGCCACTCCTTGTGTTATTGATTTTTCCCATTCTTATGCCAGATCTTCACCACAACCATCAAGATCAAATCAGCCTTCTTCACCAGATACTCCCATTTCATCCCATCACAATACTCATAATTCACCTCAGTCAGTTTCTGCAGGCTCTAGCTCAAACACCACTATTCCCTTGTTTGTTGAGTTGCCAATGATGAATGATAGATTAACTCAACCTATTAACCATGTGAATGATATTGGTGCTACTAATGAGTCTGTTCATCCCATGATTACCAGGTCCAAGAGAGGAATCTATAAACCTAAGGTCTACAGCAGCACAGTGCAAGAACATGAGCCAAGAACACTTGTAGAAGCTCTCAATCATGACAAATGGAAAGCAGCAATGCAAAGTGAGTATACAGCTCTAATGCATAACAAAACCTGGAATCTGGTTCCCTTACCTTCAGGGTGCAATGTAGTTGGGAGCAAATGGGTGTTTAAACTCAAAATGAATCCTGATAACACCATTAGCAAGCACAAAGCCAGATTAGTGGCTCAAGGTTACTCTCAAACTGCAGGCTTTGATTTTAAAGAGACATTTAGTCCTGTTGTGAAACCAACTACCATCAGAATAATTCTTACTCTTGCTGTGAAGTTTAACTGGAGCATAAAACAACTTGATGTAAGCAATGCCTTCTTACATGGAGATTTAGAAGAGAATGTGTACATGAGACAGCCTCCAGGTTTTGAAACACCTTCTGATGGAGAAAGACCTTTGGTGTGCAAACTGAAGAAAGCAATATATGGTCTCAGACAAGCTTCTAGAGCATGGTTTACAAAAATCAAAGGAACACTTCAGTCTTTGGGTTTTAGAAATTCAGTTGCTGATCCCTCTCTTTTCTATAGAACTAGTAAAGGTGTAAAGGTCTTCATGCTCATTTATGTTGATGATATAATTCTCACTGGCAATGATAACAAAGTGGTTGAAGAAACTGTTAAAGATTTGCAGAAGGTTTTTCCTATTAAGGACCTTGGGAATCTGCATCACTTTCTTGGAATTGAGGCACATTATACTGCTCAAGGTATGCATCTCTCATAGCACAAGTATGTTTGTGATCTACTGGCTAAAACCAAGATGGACAGTGCTAAGGAATGCCCCACTCCTATGATTACTTCATCAAGACTTTCAAAGCATATTGGAGATCCAACAGTTGATCAGACTTTCTACAGAAGTGTAGTGGGAGCTCTTCAATATTTAACCATCACAAGGCCAGAGATTTCCTATGCAGTGAATAAGGTAAGTCAGTTTATGTCTTCACCTCTTGATACTCACTGGAAGAGTGTGAAAAGAATCCTCAGATACCTTAAGGGTACACCACATTTTGGGCTACATATCACTAGAGAGAAGGATCTGAGGTTAGTTGGGTTTTCTGATGCTGACTGGGCATGTGATATAGATGACAGAAAATCAGTCACTGGTTCTTGTGTCTTTCTTGGAGGAAATTTAGTTGCTTGGAGCTCAAAGAAGCAAAATGCTATCTCTAGGTCAAGCACGGAGGCTGAGTACAGGAGTTTAGCTCACACTACAGCAGAGGTAACTTGGATACAGTCACTGCTAAATGAAATTGGTGTCCTTTCTGCAAATACTCCCATTATTTGGGTTGATAATTTAGGAGCCATTGCCTTGGCATCTAATCCTATCATGCATGCACGTACTAAGCACATAGAACTTGATATTCATTTTGTGAGGGATAAGGTTGCCAATGGAGAAGTGATGGTTCAGCATGTGCCTTCTTGTGATCAAGTGGCTGACATTTTTACTAAACCACTAAGTCTGCAATTCTTTACTCGGCTTCGAAGTTCATTAAGTTTATGTGATCTCACCTCGTTGGAATTGAGGGAGCCTGTTAGAGAAAATAATAATATGCAAACAAGCTTGGCCCAATATGTCAGCCCAATGTATCGGCCCATATCACACATGACCATGCAAGATCGAGCACGTGAGAATGAAGACAAGAATAACGGCTCTTCTCTGCTCTGCGTACGGCATGCATCTGCGCCCTAGATTAGATGGATAGGTGTAGGATCAAGATCATTCCTTGTACTGAATTATTCTTATCTGATTAGGGTTAGGTGCACTATTTAAGGATGATGTATGGAACAGTAAATGTATTGAATTATTGAGCAAGAAACCGCCTGAACAATGGCAGCTCATTTTGGCATTTCTCTCTTTATGATCTTTGTTTATTTCTTTCAAATACCAACCAATCATTTTCACGCATCACATCAACTTTAATTTAATATTCATCCACTCACATAATTTTAGTAAACTGCTAAACATCGTCCCCCTTTTTATTACCTACTGCCCCCCCTTGAACCGTTTTGTCCCTGACTTTCTTTTGTTTAGAAAAAAAAAAACAACGGCCGACCAACCGGCGGTAGCGACCGTATTTTTTTTTATCATTTTTTTTTTTAAAATTATGTTAGAATTTAGAAATTATTATGTTATAAATTAGAATTTAGTATCTTACATAATTTTATATTATTTCGTTAGAGCTTAGAAATTATTATGTTATAAATTATAATTGATTATCTCATAGAATTTATTATTATTACTATGTTAGATTTAGAAATTATTATGTTATAAATTAGAATTGATTATCCCATAGAATTTATATTGTTATGTTAGAATTTGGAAATTATTATGTTATAAATAATAATTGATTATCTTATAGAAGTATTATTATGTTAGAACTTAGAAATTATTATGTTATAAAATAATAATTTATCATTTTATAACATAATAATTTCTAAATTCTAACTATAAGATAATAACTGCTAATTTATAACATAATAATATCTAAATTTTAATATAATAAATAAAAATCTGATTAGTAAAAAATATAAAATAGAGCGGCCGTCCGACGATTGCGTCCTACCATGTGGTCGGCCTTCCGGCGATTCCGGCCTACCATGTGTTGGCCGACCAGGGATTGCAGCCGACTGCCATCGTGCGCCGCCGGTTTGACCAGCCAGGAGCACAAACTTTTTTTTTTTTTATACTTTTTGGGAAAAAAAATATCAGGGGTAAAACTGTCCAAAGGGGGGCAGTATATAGTAATAAGGAGTGCAATGAAAAGTAACAATTTTAGCTAACTATCACATGATATCATCGCTCTCTTACTTTTACATCAGATCAACTTTAATTATTTAGTTTTAAATATTATTTTAATATAAAATTAAAATTACACAAACAACTAACCATACTTTTTTTTTTTCAAAATTAACTCTAGTTAACCAAGAAACTTACTTTGAGCATATATATCTTTATACAAACACGCCCTACACTTTCACTTTATGTACAAATAAAACTAGACTAGTATTCAATCATGTGCACACGCATATAGCTAAACAAAAATCTATATTTTATATATATATATATATTAAAAAATTTAAATTAGAGAAAGTGTGTATTACATTTTAAAATTATGGCTATATGTAAATGTATAATATAAATGTAATTAACTTCAATATAAATCAATTTTTTTTTACATATAACTGTAATATAAAATAAATAATATAAAACCATTTAATACTATATATTCAGAAAATATAAAATATTGTAAAGTTGTTATTTAATAAAAAAAATAAAAATAATAAAATTTTAGTTTTGTAACTGTCATTTGAATGTTGGTCAAAAAGATTATTATTAAATGAAGTCCTATTTTTATTAATTGATGGCTGAATAAAATTTATTGAAGCTTGCCAACAATTATATATATATAGATACCATGATAAATTATAACCAAAGCATCAAATTTTAGCGTTCTGTCCCAATCTGCTTTGACATTTGTATTCAAAACATTATTATCCATAATTGATCAACGAAAGTTGTGCCTTCGATGTCTGATTCTGTATGTGCTATAACTAATTTGATTTCTTGAAGCATAAAAGTTTTTCAAATACATTCTCTAGTGATGAATGTTTACATGACACGAACCACGTTGCCCCTGTTGCCTAGAGAAACTAATTAAACCATTTCTCCTAATCAGTTTTCAAAGGTAAGAAAATAGAAATAAGTTATCATACAGACCTTGCTCAAATCACGCTCCATATCAGCGGCCATGACGTGCGTACGGTGAATTTGCTCGCCCTGTTGGTGCAACGTGTCAAGCGTCCGGGTGGCATCCTCCCTAATATCGACCGCTATCTTCAAGCAGTTGTTGACTGATTTTGTGGTCTCCCGAGCCTGGTTCACGGCATACCCCTCCAACTCCTGCATGGACATACTATGGAGCTCTTTTTTTTGCTTGTAGGCAGACAACGAAGTTGGACCACGCCCAAAATAGTCGTCGTCATCATCGTCCGGGATGGGGAGGGTCGGCTCTGAGGAAGTCCGTCGTGAAGGGTTGGGGGCGGCGTTTTTTCCCTTGTGGTTGTTTGTTTCAAGGTCAGAGTCAAAAGGGTTCATGGGGTCCGCCGACGTCTGCGTGGGTTGTTTTTCTACCGGCGATTTTCTAAACCCGAACATTTTTTTGTTGCTCTTTATCGTTTTCGTTGTCGGGAGTTTTGATTTTCAAACCAGGCGCCTGTCGTAGCTGGAAATTATAACTTTAGCCTAATATCTCTTAACATGTAGGGGAAGAATGTAAGATTTTGAAATATTAAGAAAATTAAGAAAACAAAATAAAGTAACTCATGAATTGAGAACATGTAATAAATTGCAGAGAGAGAGAGAGAGAGGGAGAGAGAGAGAGAGAGAATGTAGGAAAGGAATGTAAAGGCAAAAAGTCCTCATCCACAAAGCAACGAGAGATGGAAAAAAGAGAATACAAAGAATATGAAACTCGTTTGTATATTGAAATATATAACCATAAAATGGAAAGCTGGCATGCTTTTCTAACAAATGACCTGTGTGGAGTGAATGTTTTTGGTAAAAAAATGAGACGTGAGGCTTTTTTTTCTCTTCCTTAATTTTTTTTTTTTTTTTCTTTTTTTTTTTCCTTGAAAATTGAAATGAGTTTCCACTCCCCAATTACTTTTACTAGCATAGCTATGTGTGTTAAGCAAATTTATATTGATACAAACATGCGCGCACGCACATATACACACCACCAACACACTATCTTTGAGCCACCGCCACTGCCACTGTTGAGACACCAATCTTCATTATTTCTTCTCTCTAAATTTCTTTCCCTTGTATGTATGACCTCTGGCCTCATCCATCATCAGAGCATAGTTCCGTGTATGAGGCGCTACTGGCGAACATCCCATCACAGAGAAACCGCCAGCACAACTATCAATCTTTTCTTTGTCAAATTAGGAAAGGTCATTCCAACATTGTGACTCGCATATCCTTCCCCAAACAACCGTCGGTGCACCCCGGGTGGTCAATCTCTGTGCCTCTACCTCCGCCTTGCTCCACAATTGCGATTCAACTGGAGAAGCTCTTTGATCACTAGCTATCTCTCTTTGAAACCCATCCTCTGGTTTATCATGTCATTTATAGTTAAGGAAAAATTAGTTTTGTACCCATTTTACGGTTCTATTTTTTGTAAGTGGAATACTTAAAAATTCTAAAAACTATTTTAAGGTGAATGAGAAATTAATTCTAAGTTGTATATGTGGGAAATGTAAGGTTGAAACAATGAGTTTAAGTAATTCAAATTATTGGATTTGTAAAACATTCTTCGGAAAATGTTAAGTTAATTCAAATATGACCTGATCATGTAGCTTGTATGCTATAAATCTATAGGGTTTTGTTGAGGATGAGTAGAAAAAAATAGAACTTGATTCCGAGTCCGTATGAGCTCGCACGGGCCCGCGGCGTACAGGCGCGCAGCTGGTTGCAGAAACCGAAAGATCATAACCTTTGGTGACCATAAGGTGTCTTTTTACCACTAGATGCATTCGTTCTCGTTCGTGCACGTCCCAGTAGGTGTCTTTTGACACTTAAACCTCTTGGAGGTGCTTTCTACATCTATAAATACCCATATATGTGAAATCATTCTATATAGGAAAACTAAAGAGCTCTTGCATTACTTTTCAAAGATCATATAGCATATTGTGTTCTTTGATTTTTTTTATTTTTTTTTTCATTGAGTGTTGAGAGTTCCAAACAATAGTAGTATTCGCCGAAGTCTTGTATATTTGAAGTAGCGCTACATACAAGTCAAAAGTTATTGTATCTTGGAGACGTTTGTCGTTAACCATGGGTATTTTACGGAGCAATTTCGTCTTAAGGAGAACATAACTATTACGTGCCTCGACTTTGATTTTTGTTTTGTTTTCTTCATTCTCCTTAAGCTATTCTTTTGATATTCACAAACCACACGAACTACAATCTTAAGACGAAATTTTGTGAGTTTATAAGAAGGCAACTGGAGGAAACCAAATGTTAGTGCTCAACCGACTGCTAATCCTTTCATCCCAATGGTAGTCGCTCTCGTACTAGGCGAGAGACCGTAGATGTTCAATGGTTTGATTTCAAGAGGCGACAGAGAAAAGATGTTTTTTTTTTTATCTCTCCACTCTCTCCTTCTCTCGTTCACTTTCGGAGGACTCTTTGATTGTTCCCGAAAGTGAGACTAACGTCCACAAAAAAAAA